TTCAAATGGATTCAAACCTAGAGACCGATTTATAGAATTGTTATATGCTATTTGAACAGTTGGGGGAATCAAGTCCCAATTTCTAAGATTTTTTTGGACTAGAGACTTGAATAAATTGTCAGGACTTTGGTTAACGACTTCATTTTGACCATCAGTTTGAAGTTGGTCAGTAGTGGAGAATGTTGATTTAATGCTAACCACAGGCGACTGGATTCTCCAAGGGTGGCCAGTGAAATCATCAAACTCTTTGAGTTGTGCAAGGGTATGACATATAACATGTGATCGAGAGTTGTCAAAAACAAGGGGTATAGTATCTAAAGTCTCGGGAAGAGTCTGGAGTCTACCTAAAGAAGTGTCCTCACTATCATCCAAGTCATCAAAATCTTCAAGTTTAGGTTCATAGACTAGATCTTCTAATGGCATATCTATTACATTCTTTCGTTCTTCCATGACTAAGGTTCGATTAGTACATTTGGAGGAAATGTGGCCAAAGTCCTTACAGCTGACGCACAACAAGTGAGAAGAAGTCCTTGAAGTTTCAAAAATTGTACCCTTATTTTCCAAGATTGTATGAAGATTAGACGGGGAAGGTCTTAGAAGGGACTTAACGGGAGAAGGTGGAGCCAATGAAATTGAAGGATGTTTGTCAATATGCTTTCTACATGGAGAAGAAGATCTTGGACTATCACGACCTTTACAATTATTTTTCCAAATAGGAGGAACATTAGACGGAGAAGGCTTTATGATAGACTTATGACGAGGCGACGCTAATGGGATGGGTGAACGACGATGACCACGCCTTTCATATGGAGTACTAATAATCAACTCATAATCTCGAGTTAACGAGTAAGCATGATCAAGAGTAGTGACACCTCGAAGAAAAAGCTCACGCCTAAGATCATCTCTCAGACCTTGGCTAAACCTACTCAAAGTCGTAGTCTCGTCTTCAATTAAATGACATTTGCTTCGAAATTCTTCAAATTGTGCGATATACTCAGTCACTAATTGATTTCCTTGTTTAAGGGCATTCCATTGAGTAAGAATTTCAAAATTATTTCGTTCTCGCTCACGAATCTGATCCCTATTCCTATCCCTATCCTTACGATCGGGTCGAAAGTATTTTTGATTACCTTGTCGACGATATTGTCTATTATGGGACACCTTAAAATTATTAACATCAATCGAATGAGGGATGTGTTTAAAATTTTTCGAACTAACAGATAGGGCCTTACTCTCTTCAAGAGTAGCGATCATTTGAGTTTGAATAGCCGCTATTTGTCGGGTGAGTGCATCGAATTGTGAGGGGTTCATGTTTAAGGTACTAGAGCTAGAACTGACAAGATGACCAATATGTAACTATATGCAAAGCAATACTACCTAAATGAAATGCAATAGAGAGACCAATATGCATCAAGGACCAACGATTAAAACATCAATTTGAAATTCTCTCTCTCTTTTCTTCCCTTCCAAAAATGCAAGTTAATAGTGCTGATGCTTGTAAATAATAAAGCAATGGTCCAATGCTTGTTAAGATCAAATGGTATTGTCAAGATTTCCAATGAGGTAGATAAAAGAGGTAACAATGGCACATCAATTCAGTGAGATAAATGGGGCAACAATGGCAAGTCAATTCAATGAGTGATTCCAATCAAGTGAAGTTTGAGACCAAAGTTGTGATAGTAACAGCAACACAAAGAATCTAAGTGATGCACTTTTAAAATAAAACAGCAGTATAAACCAATGAGAATTAGGAGATAGCAACTCCCTGTAGTTTAGTTTGATTATTTGTATGCCGCTTGATTTGAATTGCCAACTTATAAGCCCCAACTATGCTTCTGTTCTTCCCTTCGTGTCCAATGGTTTTAACCTCTGTTGACTGTAACTTGTGTTGGCTCTGGTGTGGACGTAAAATTA